AGCGCCCCAAGGGCTTTTTCCTGGCAAAGCAGCTGCATTCTCCCCTTCTCTGGCAATGCTGTCTCTGAACTCCAGGTGGCGCCCTCCCAGAGCTTTCAGGTGGCTGCTTCTGACTCACACTCCACCCAGGCTGGAACCTTCCAGGAGACAAGTGGAGGGCACATTTTGATGGCGAGTTTGCTGCCCTTCACCCTGGCTCTGTGGAACAGTTGCTGCCAAAGCCAGGGGAGCCAGCCGCGGGGGTGAGATGAAGGGGATAGTCTGATGAGAGTGGGCGAGCCATCTGCCACCAGCCCTCTGCTCCCCAGCAGGACTCTGAGGGACTGGACGTCTGGAGCCTGCAACCAGCTCTCCCCACTCCCACCTCAGGGAAGGGCCCAGAGAGTGGGCCAACCAGCAGGTTGTGGGCATGGTCTGATCTTGAAGCCACTTACTCGCAGGCAGTAAGCATTTGTTGAGTGCCTGCTGTATGGTTGTTAGCGTGCTGAGCACCAGAGGGGTATGACTTGGCAGGAGGAGTTTTTGGTTGGACACCAGCCAAGTGGAAGTCAGTGGCTTCATGGCAGGAACGGTTACAGCACTGGGGACAATATGTCATGGACAGGGAAGACCCTGTTATCTGGGACAACCTTGGTCGGGGAGCGAGAAGACTGGATTTACTCTGAGCTTCACCTCTTACTGGAAGTGTGACCTTAGGCTTGTACCTTCACCTGTGTGGGCTTCAGTTTGCCCATGTGTGAAGTGGGAAAAGTGCTCCCGGCGCCATCCAGTGCTCACACCTAGATCCACCCGCTGTAGGAGCATGTGTGGAATTCAACAGAAAACTGCTCTCAGGCTGAGGGGTGGGGGAGCTGAGCAGAGGCAGGAGGGCCACAATGTCAGAGAGTGGCGGGCTGTTCAGGCTTCAGGAGGGCAGAACACGTGACAGGGAGTGGGTGAGAAGCGTGGAAAAGGAGGCCTCGCATACCACGCTAGGAAAGGGCACCATCGGAGCAGGAAGGGACTGACAGAGGAGGAGAGTCTGGCTGAGGGGATCCATGAGGATGGAGGTGGAGGAGAGACGGAGACCGGGAGACCTGGGAGAGGCTTCTAGTATAGGAGGGCAGTGACAAGGATCCAAACTCATGCTGTGGACCCAGGAATGAAGACACCGATTCTAGTGACACAGCAAAGGAAGCCAGTGACAGCACAGGGTTAAGCACGAGAGCTGTGTCCTCACACAGACCTGAGTCCTAACTCCATCCTGTCCACCTGTTAGCTGCGTGACATTGAGCAAGGCGCTTAACCTCTCTGAGCCTCAGTTACCTCATCCAGATATGGGACAATTCAGTGTCTGCTTTATGGGTTGGTGTGAGGATCAGATGAATTCATGGATGCAACGTACTTGTACTTCGTTCAGGGCCTGGCAGCTGTCCTTTCGATCCTTATCAGTAATATCAACAGTCCTCGGTGACTCATTAGATGCGGGAGAAGTGAAGGAGCCAGAGGAGTCAAAGATGAAAGTGAAACCATTAACAAAGAAGAGGACTGGATGTGTTGGTGTGGGTAGGGTGGGTTGGGGACCTGTGGGCCGTTCCAGGTAAAGTGACCATCAGGAGGAGGAGACTGGAGTTAGGAGAGAGCCCCGACTCCCGAGGGGCGCGTGGGAACCGTGGATGCGGAGGTGATGCTGGGGCTGCTGCGGGCAGACAGCTGTGGTCCAGGCCAGCGGGAACGTTGGGAGTGCACTCAGAATGTTGGCTGAGGACTCCAGAGAGCTCCTGCGTCCACAGACTGCTACTACCTATCAAGTCAGGCGAGCTGTAATCCAGGAGCCGTGTGCTTTCAAGTTCAATTGCACCTTTTTGGATATCAGTGTCAGATGTAATTAATTTTTAGATGGAAAAAAAGACTGTATTTTAGGTCGTGTGATACTGTCCCATATGACTCAAACACAAAGCAGCTGGAAAACTCCATGAATTTAAAGAAGACAAGGCTGCCTAAGCACAGAGTGTAATTTGAGAGAAGATGACCTAGGACAAGACACTGGGGGACACCTGTGTCTAGGGGGGCAGGTAAAAGAAAGGTGCCAGTGAGGATGGAGGAGGTGCTTGGGTATTATGAATGTCAGGGAGGAGTGAGTGTCAGGAACCAAGAGCAGTGCTCATATTGTGGAAAGGTTGAGGAGAGTGGAGACGGGGTGGTGCCCTTAGCATGTGGCGCCTGGACACCCTGGAGTGAGGTAGGGCTGGGACCCGGAAGGCCAGGGAAATGGGGAATTGGTGAGCGAGGCTTGTGTTCTCAGGAGCCTGGCCGCCGAGGAAGGAGAGCAGACAGTGGCGTGACAGTGGGTTAAGAGAAGTTTCTTTCTTTAGGATATGGAGACATGGTGTTTGTATTCATCTGACAAACATTTATTTTATTTTTTTTATTTTTATTTTTTAATTTTTTGTGAGGAAGATCAGCCCTGAGCTAACATCCGTGCTAATCCTCCTCTTTTTGCTGAGGAAGACCGGCTCTGAGCTAACATCTATTGCCAATCCTCCTCCTTCCTCCCCCCCGCCAAAGCCCCAGTAGATAGGTGTATGTCATAGCTGCACATCCTTCTAGTTGCTGTATGTGGGACGCGGCCTCAGCATGGCCGGAGAAGCGGTGCGTTGGTGCGCGCCCTGGATCCGAACCCAGGCCGCCAGTAGCGGAGCGTGCGCACTTAACCACTAAGCCATGGGGCCGGCCCTGACAAACATTTATTAAGCACCTAATATGTGCAACGTTGAAGGGAAGGAGCTGGAGGCAAGGGAAGGGTTGAAGTTGCATAAAAGAGAGAGGATTGGTGGCTTATGGTGGTTTGGTAGGGGGAGGGGGAAGTGTCAGCCTTGGCAAGTGGAGAGAGGCCTCCTGCTCTTCTGGGAAGAGGAGACAGGGGAAGACTCTGGGAAGTCTGGGGGGTGGGGTGGGGGGCAGCTGTAGGGGGCTGGAGTGGCTGTGAGAGGGTAACTTCAGCTCAGCCGCTGCGCTGGAGAGTGGGAGTGAGAACTTCAGGAGCACTTGGTTAACTAGCAATTTCCTTTCCCTAATAAATGTCCTTAACTCTCCGTAATTGAAGGAGCCGGCACCAGAGGTCAGGTGACGAAGCTTTAATTTGGGTAACACGGAAGGAAAGCAGCTAGAGACCAATTACTCTGTCATTTACACAAACTCATTTCCGTGATTAACTTGGAAAGTGAAGCAGGGCCCGAGTTCCCACAGGCAGGGGGACAGCCCCGGGAGGGCCACTCTGCCCTGAGGCTGCGCCTGGGGAAGGAGCACAGCTGGATGGGGCTTTCATGGCCAAGGCAGACTAAACCCTGAGGGTTTCCGCAACAAAGAGGCAAGGCCCGGCTCTGTTCTGACGCTCCAGCCCATCCAGCCAAAACGTGGCTGCCTCCTCACTGCCGCTTCCCCCAGTTCAGCTCTGCCTCTGCCGTACTGGGCACACTGCAGCTGGTCCTTTCCCCCCAGGGCCTCTGTTTCCCTAGCCCTAACATTAGTCATCAGACTATAAGTGTACTCCAAGCCACCTTCCAGCACCAACGTTCTGTGTCTGCAGAAGCCAGCTGTCCCTTAGCTGGTCTTGCAGTAAATGGTCAACCCAAGTGTGCTCAGAGAGTGGACATTTGCTCCGACCCTGTACTCAGTCCCGTAGGACCACAGAGGCTGAGGGGTGTTCTCCACCTGCAAAGACCGGGTGTATACACATAGGATATTGATGAACAGGTTACTGGGTCTCAGGGGCTTACCACAGGATAACCAACAAACAGTGCATGGTTCAGAGAAGGGAGACCAGGGAATGGAGTAATTGTGAGGTGTGTCTCAGTGGGGAGCAGGACTGGGGCCTGACCCCAGGTCAAGGCTTGGCTGAGCCTCTAACTTGGACACTGGGTCCACTTTCTGGTCCTCCAGAGAGGGCTTGGCCTGGTTTCTGGCAAGAGAGAGAATGCAGGCGAAGGCTCAGAGGCAGAGATGCAGTAAGAGGTCCCTGGGTGCAGGGTGTGGGATGAATGGATGAAATAGAGTGAGTGAGATGAGGTGGACTCCAGGCTGGGGGCACCCAGCAGGGCTGGGTCATGATGGGCCCAGAGAATCGACGAAGGCAGAAGAAACATAAGGATTGGACTTTCTAGACTTAAGGGAGGGTCACAGCCAGCACACTAGGCCTCTCTGTCTCCTGTTATTCTTGGTGACTCTAGCAAAGTGTCCCGAGAACCTTAGGCAAGAAGCTGGCAAGTCATGGGGGAAAGGGATGAGAGTGGGGAGGGGAACGGGCTACAGGCTGGTGGGTGCTGTCTGAGGCTGAGCCCACATGGTGACTGTGGTTCTGTGCCCCCGTCCAGGCATGTGGGGCCTGGTTAACAATGCGGGCATCTCGACGTTTGGGGAGGTGGAGTTCACCAGCATGGAGACCTACAAAGAGGTGGCGGAGGTGAACCTCTGGGGCACCGTGCGGATGACAAAATCCTTTCTCCCCCTCATCCGAAGGGCCAAAGGTGAGTTGGAGAGGGACCTTCTTCCTGCCCCCTGGACCTGCCCCACCTTTTCATCTTTGCTCAGAATGGAAATAGGTCTCAGCAGATCCGACATCTACAGCCCAGGGAGGCTGAGCACATGACTCCCAAAGGCCACGTGGGGCCTGTGGATGGTGTTGAGCGGAGGTGCCCAGGCCAACCGGCCGGAAAGGGAGGTGTAGTTTTCAGAAAGTAGAGCAGGTAAGAGATCAGCAGTCTATACACCAAAGACTAAAAGATTACAGTGGTAATGCCACTCTGGGAACCTAATCCAGAGAGATCACCACCCTGGTGCACAGAGCTGTGTGTACACATCACGTATCCATAGGGGTGTGGTTAAGTAAATTTTGGTATATCCATTCTGTGGGTTACTATGCCGTAATTAAAAAATGAGACAATTGTGGTAGTAAGTAAAAATAATAATAATAACCAAGATTAGAAATTTCGAAAACAGACAAAACACCCAAACCATGTTAGGTAGCCAAATGCAAGCAAACCACCTAAGAAGTCAATGAGTCAGATTTTCTCCGTAAAATAGCAAACAGTTATGGTAAAAAGGGGAAGATCCACATGATCTATCCCAAAGTCCCCACAATGACAGAATGAACCCAGAGAGCCCCTGTGGGATTTTAGAAGAAAACCTCAACCCTGCAGTGACTTCTAACTTAGAGGTTTCTGAGAGGTGCCTCCCCACAGTGCCCAGGATGGGGCCGCACCTTAACTTCCGGGTGCACACCCAAGGCCAGTGGGTCCCAGGTCTGGCTGGGCTGGGTGGGCTCCACTGCCACCCCGCTGCCCCCAGGGCTGGGAGAAGCTGTAGTCTGCTCCCAGCACCCCCAGGCTGGGCCTGTGGGAGAGCCTCTCCAGGTGGCTACTCTATCCCTGTGCCTGAGACTCTGCCCACATGTCCTAGCCCTGAAGTCGGGTTCAGAACCCTGCCCCTGCTCCTGCCCCTGCCTGGTTGCAGATTGAGCCCTACCAGGTGATAACAATTTGGGGTGAAAATGCAATGGGAGCGAGACACAGCTTAGTTATATGTTGTCCATTATACTGTGCCCTCCTGGCATACAGGCCTGCTTCCCACTCATTTCCCCTCCCCTGTCTGGCCCTGCACAGCCGGCTCCCCGGGAAACATCGGGGATGCTGATGCTGATGTGTGGGCCTGAGCTGGCCTTGACTTCAAATGGAAAGGCCTCCTGACCCAGGGTGGTTCAGAAGGCCAGGCCCCAGCCTGGCAGGCAGCAAAACAAGTATCAGGGGCCAGGGGGCCAGGTTCCAGCCAGGTCTCCAGAAACATGCCAGGCCCCAGGCCCTCTGCCCCACCAGGCAGTGACCCCTGAGCAGGTGTTTGCTCTCTTCCTCTGCAGGCCGCGTCGTCAACATCAGCAGCATGCTGGGCCGCATGGCCAACCCAGCCCGCTCCCCATACTGCATCACCAAGTTCGGGGTGGAGGCTTTCTCTGACTGCCTGCGCTACGAGATGCACTCGCTGGGCGTGAAGGTCAGTGTGGTGGAACCCGGCAACTTCATCGCTGCCACCAGCCTCTACAGCCCTGAGCGCATCCAGGCCATTGCCAACAAGATGTGGGACGAGCTGCCCGAGGTGGTGCGCAAAGACTACGGCAGGAAGTACTTTGATGAGAAGATCGCCAAGATGGAGACCTATTGCAACAGTGGCTCCACAGACACGTCCCCCGTCATCAACGCTGTCACCCACGCCCTGACCGCCTCCACCCCCTACACCCGCTACCACCCCATGGACTACTACTGGTGGCTGCGAATGCAGATCATGACCCACTTGCCTGGAGCAGTCTCTGACAAGATCTACATACACTGAAGAGTTCGACAGTAGCCTCTGTTGGGGAGCCCCAGTGAGAGAAGGGGAGGGAGGGAGGAGGAAGGAGCTTGTGTGGTCACCTCTTGCTTACCCACTTGTGGATTCTCCGCAGTCCCAGGAGGAATCACTACCAGTTTTAGCGTTAACCAAAGCGGGTAGCCCAGCCTGACTTGTGTGCACAGTGAGTGGCTGGGCCTTCTCAATCGGTGCGGAGGGGCGGGCAGGGCCCCTAAACCTCAGGGCAGACATGGGGCATCCATCTTTTTGGAGGTGATTTCATACAAAGATTTGGGGTAAACATCTTTATATTAAAAACAGATTTATTATCAAGTAGAATCCAAATCCTTTACATTTTTAAGCCAAAACATCAGTTCAAAAAATTTTCCTCATTTGATTCTTAAGCCAGTCTCATGAGTAAAAGGACAGATATATTTTTTCTTAGCCCAAAGAGGATACATGAACAATCCTTTTATTGCTTATAAATGGTCCAAGTAGTGTGTTCCTGCCTCTGCTGTAGAAACACTTCACGTTTCATGTCCCAGGGCTACTCTGGATCCAATCTAAGAATCTTCTGCTGAGTTCTGAGTCCTCGCCTGAGCCATGCATACCGTGTGCCCATTGTGTACCTCTTTGCATGTCCATGGTGCTGGTGTGTGTGGCCCCTAGCCAGTGATTCAGAGCTGACTGTGAAGGGGGTGAGGAAATTCTGGAGATTTCCATTTGAGATATCTCCAACCTCTCTGAAGACTTAGGACAAACTTGTGTGGAGGTGCTCTTTTGCTAAGAGGGAAGTTTGTTTCTGGTTTGGGTCTGCTTGGTTTTGTCTGGGGTGGGACCCGTGTTAATGGGGCATCCTTGGCAGAAGCCGTGGTGTGAAGGCTAGGCACTGTGGCACCTTCTCCCCCAGGGGTGGGTGTGGATTCTCTGCCTCACACACACACACCCCTGTTCTGTAGGGCTGAGGGTGGCCTTCATTGATGGCTTGCCTTCCTACTGTGGCCCTATTTTTAGTTAAGAAGCTAAGTCACTGATAGGCAGAGTCTGTTATCACTTCTTGGGTTTGGGTTTGAAGGCTGCCATCCCTGCAGTTGCCCAGGGCCTAGATGTTTAGACCAGAACCAGGCACCACCCTCTCCAGGTGGCTGCAGGCCTAGGACAGGGTCACCAAGTGCCAGCCCGGCAAATCACACTGGCACTTCCGCCTCTCCCTGGAAGGGCCAGGCCTGCCACTAGAGGGCGCCCTGCCTCCTCTGCAGCCAGAGCCTGAGGTTTCTCAAAGCGTCCGTGATCCCCACCTCGGAAACAATCTGGGCACAAAGACACAAGGCCCCTTTAGAAATGGCATTCCTGCTCCTCTAATAGCTGCCTGGCTTAAATGTGGAGCCTGGTGCCAGGAGAAGGCAGAAGAACCTGGGCAGCTGGAACTGGCCATGGGGCTCAGGAGTGCCAAGGAAAAGGGAGTCTCACAACGAGCAAGTTCAGCCTGTCTCTCGGGCCTTTGTCTCCTCTGTCTTCAGTCAAGGGTGCCCTGTCCCAGCTCCCTTCTGCAGGCTGAAGCGGAGCTGGCGTGGGGGTGGGGAGGCAGGGCCGAAACCCTCCAGAGCCCAGAGGGGGACATTTGGTGACCATCGTGTTTGCATAACAATAAGGTCTTTTTATTTTGTTCGTTTATTTATTTCGGTGAGGAAGATTAGCCCTGAGCTAACATCTCTTGCCAATCCTCCTCTTTTTGCTGAGGAAGATTGGCCCTGGGCTAACATCCATGCCCATCCTCCTCAACTTTATATGGGACGCCGCCACAGCATGGGATTCACATCTGCGAACCCCGGGCCGCCGAAGCAGAGTGCGCGAACTTAACCACTATGCCACTAGGCTGGCCCAATAAGGTCCTTTTAAATCACAGAGCTTGCCTTTCAGAATCCCTTTTTTACATCTTGGGAGATTTCGTTTCCATGCTTAATTTTATTAAAGGAAAATGGATGCCACACTTGTCACACGTGTGCATGGATACCTGGGAACTAGGGGAAGGGGAGATGGTCACGTGCTCTGGGCCGGATCTGCAGTAAACTGACCACTGGAGAAGCTGCATCCGTATTCGCTGTGGTCTCCAGGAGGAAGACGGGACTGCTAGGCTGCCCTGAGTTTTCATTTTTATCCCTGAGATTGAAAAGCCCTGAGCACCTCCCCTCCAGATAATCTCAGTGCAACCTCACGTTACCATTCACTTCGGGCAGCGCAGAGCCCACGTGGGTGCAGGTCCAGTTTTGATCCGGAGATGGCTGAGGTGGGCAGAACAGAGGTTGTTCCTGTTTTACAGACGACATAACTGAGACCCAGAGAGGAGAAGTGACTCACCTAGCATCACAGGGATCTGGGCAGACCCAGGGCCAGCACAGAAGTCTGAAGGGTGCTGTAATACCACCATCACCTCACCCTGTGGCCCCAACAGCCCTGGGAACTAGGCAGGTGATGGCCACTAGGCACCTAGACTCTCACTGCTTGTCTGTCAGCAGAGAGCTGCCCCTTCTTGTAGGAGGAGGGGAGGGAGGAGGCCTTCCAGAGGCTGCCACCTGGCTCTCACTGCCCAGTCCTGCTGGGAACAAATGGTGTCCATGGGTGCTGCCTTGGTAGGAGCATTGTCTCCTGTATCCTCCCCTTGGAAGGATTTGCTCAGTCAGTGAGGTCTGAGGACGCTTCTCCCATTGTCTCCTCGGACCTGCAGCTCCGGCCTGGGCCCCTTGAGGTACACTCCCATCTCCCAGGCAGCAGGTACCAGGCAGCAGGGCCCGGAGCTGTGCGGTGCAGGGCATCAGTAGTTAGCAGGCACCCACACAGGGCCCTGGGCCAGGCACCAAGCATTCATGATCTCATTTGATCCTCCCCAGGGCCTGTGAGTTGGGGAGAGAGTCCAGCAGCCCCTGCCAGTCCCACTCTGTCACCCCTGCGGGGTGACCTTGGGCATGTGGCTCTTGGTCCAGGGCCTCGGTGCCTCAGGCAAGAGGAGGGAAGCATGCAGACAAAGCCTGGAACTGCGGGGGTGGGGAGGGGGCTGGACTCAGCTTGCCCCCAGGACTTCGCCCAGCAGTACCTCTGTCTGTGGGACCCAGCCTGTGGGTGCCTTCAGCCGGCACTAAGCCGCCCTTGATGGCTGGAGGCTGGGCGAGGGCTTTTGCAAGCTGCTCCTGACAGTGCCTTGTTTCAGCGCACATGCTGCGCTTAGCATTTCACCCAGGGCCAGGCGGCCGTGTGAGCAGGTGATGGGCTGGCCTGGCCCTGCCTGCCACAAGCTGCTCGGCCGTGCCTCTGCTGCCCATGGCAGGGGGTCCTGCCAGACTGCCCGCTTGTGAGGCCTGTTCACTGCCTCTGTTTCAGATGGGGCCTGGCTCTGCGAAGCTGTGTAAAGGTCTTCTGGCAGACATGAGCAAGGCTCCTCAGCTTGGGTGGCACTAGGCTCGGGCTGCCAGATGACAACCAGGCACATCTGTGCAGTGCTGGGCACGTTCCGCAGCCAGATCACCTCCCCTCACCCCGATTCTCACGGCAGCCCTGGGGGGTAGGCAGGGTGGGGTTCTTATCTCGTTTTACATGTAAGGAAACAGAGTATCCTAAGTCTTTTGCCAAGTGAGGGATAGAACCAGGTTGCCAAGCCAGATCTAACCTCCAGCCCGGAGCTAGTGATGCATGAAAAGCAGGGCAGATGGCTCCAGGATCTAAAATAAGGAGGGGAAAAAATACCACAGTTATGTCACAGTGAGGAAAAGCTGTAAGCATATGCACGGTAACAACCACAGAGTGTTGCCACATGAGCCAGCTCCTTCTTCCCTTCCCCCTGGGCTTGGGTGCCACTCCCTGGGAGAGAATGTGCTGGAGGAGCCCATCAGTGTCCCTCCAGTAGAAAACCTGCCTTGACTGAGCTAACACTGCTCCCATCAGGGGCATTTCTGGGGGCATGCTCTAGGAATACCAAAACCCAAACCTTGGACAGAGAGATTCTGGAGCTGCCTGCAAAAGGCTGAGGGTTATAAGAGCACACGGCGTCAGGATCCTCAGACAGCGGATGGAACCAGGAGGGCTCTGGGCTCTGGTGGAGACTAAATAAACCAACCAACCCAGGGCATCCTAAGGCCCTCGGGGTGTGTGTAAGCACTAAGGAAGGTGGTGAGTGGCGGCTTCAGAGGTATAGGGTAAGCACCTGGAGGGCCAGGGAACAGGGCTGGGGACTGGGGCCAGGAGAGGCCAACAGGACCCCCAGAACCTCAGAGAAGGAAAGGGGACTCAGCCGTCCTCAAGCCTGATTCCCAGCCTCTTGGGAGCTGGCCAGGCCTTGAAGCCCTCCAGTGACAGGGAAGTCTTTACTTCCTAAGAGGCACTTCCTTGGTTAGAGAAAATTTATCCAAAGACTGAGCTGAAATCTCCCACCTCTAACTCAACTCCTTTGGCACTTGGCTATGGCTCAGAACCACACAGAACAATTTAAATCTTCTCAATAGCCCAGTGGATATTTGGAAATAGCTGAGTGAGCTTCAAGAGTCCAGGTCCCTCATTCGACAAGGTTTCCATACTCCTCACTGAACAGAAGGTTTCAGCTGTGGTTATGCCATCCCTCATTCTTGATGACACACCAGGCTGAATGGCCACCTGAGTCCCCTCAAGTAGCCAAGAACTTTGAGACAGGTTTTGATGTTTGGTGAGATCCTGACAACTCCTCACATGCACGTGCCCCTTCACAACTAACCAAGTGTGTGCACAACTTATCTGTCATCTGATCCTTGTAAACAGCTTATGAGTTGGGCAGGACCATTATTCCCACTGTACAGATAAGGAAACAGCCTCAGGGAGGGGAAGCGATTTGCCGGAGATCACAGAGCCAGAAAGTGGGAGAGCCAAGATAGAAACCCGGGGCATCTGGCCTCCCTCCCTAGGGCCCCTTCCCTTACCCCCAGGCTGCCTCCGTCTCCTCATCAGGGCCCTAGAGCTGGGCTGGTCTCCACTCAGTGGGGCTAGCCATGTAGCCTTGGAAGGAGTGATGGGTGAAGAGCATTAAACTTCGACTTTCTCCCAGCCCACGGTAGAGAGCCACAGAGAAAGGGAGGCTGAGCCTTTCCTGCGTCTCACTGCAGGTGTGTCCGTTGTGTCTGTGGGATCTGCCAGTGGCCTGGGCACTGATGGAGGGCCTGATGTGGAGGAGGGCAGGGCCAGGAGGGATTCCCAGGCCTCAGCATCGAGCGACATGTGTTAGAAGAGAGAGAGAGTGAACGGCGACCAACCTCAGGGGATGCTGGGGCCCAGAAACACCTTGTGCTGCTCTCTCAGTGAGACTTAATTACTCTATAAAATGTGAGGCTGCTCCCACTTATCAAATTAT